AGGTGGGGAGGAGGGGGGAGTCAGACGCAGGCCACTGAGAAGCGAAGGATCCTTTGATTTGGCAAATAAACCTCCTAATGATCTGTTGACAGTGTGTGGGTGTGTGATGGCTGAAGGCGTTGGTAGACGGGTTCATGCCTGTCTCTGGATGGAAACACAAAGTGTTTGTTACAGACTCAATCCTGAGTGTCTCTGGACCCTCTGCTTCACCAGAGAGCATGTTCAAAATGCAGATGCCCAGCCCCAAACCAGCCCAGCCCAATCAAATCTGCTTTGTCACTAGCTCCCAGGGTAGAGGTGGAGTGTGTGTGTGTGTGTGTGTGTGTGTGTGTGTGTGTGTGTGTGTGTGATATGTACATTAATGTTTATGAAGTATTGCTCTAGACAGAGGAAGGCAAGCTTTTAAAAAATTATATATTAACAATATTTTTTACTGATTTCAGAGAGGAAAAGGGAGGGAGGGAGGGAAGGAGGAAGAGAGAAAGAACGAGAGAAACATCCATGAGAGAGAATCATTGATCAGCTGCCTCCCACATTCCCTATGCTGGGGATTGAACTTGCAACCCAGGCATGTGCCCTGACCAGGAATTGAACCTTGACCTCCTGGTTCATAGGTCAATGCTCAACCACCGAGCTCTACCAGCTGGGTTATTATTATATTTTTAAACAAAATTGAATATATTTAAGGTGTATGACAGGATTTGATATATATACACATGATGAAATGATATGACAGTCAAACCAATTAATTATCATCTCCTCCTGTGGCTACCTGTCTTTTGTGAGGAGAACACCTGAAGTCTATTCTTAGCAAATTTCCAGTCTTCAGTACAGTGCGATTAACTGCAGTCACCGGCTGTGCCTTCGCTCTGTAGAACGTACTCATCCTACACAACTGAAACTAGCCTTCTGTGAAAAGCCAGACAGTAAATATTCTAGGCTTTGTGGGCCATACAGTCTCAGTCACAACTATTCAACGTGGCCAGAGACTATAGGAGTGGCTTGGTTGGGGTTCAATTAAACTTTACTTACAAAAACAAGCAGTGGGCAGGATTTGGCCCGTGGGCCATAGTTTGCCAACCCCTGCTTTTGACCTCAAGTTTACTGGCCATTAAGTAGGCAATTCCCTCAGTATATATTCTCTGGCTTCCTAAAGTTGTCTTTATCATGTGATGGCATTTCCAGTCCTCCCCCCTCTACCAGTACACACACACACATTCATACATGCACTGTGCTCATGGTGGCCTGGGGGGTCAGTGAAGATCTATCTATCTACTCATCCATCTATCTATCACCTATCTATCTATCTATCTATCTATCTATCTATCTATCATCTCCTTTAATGTTCTAGGTTTTTAAAAATGTTGTTTATTTACAAAAAAAAAAAAAGTCTCCTGGCCCCTCACCACCATTAGAGAAGGGACAACAAAGGCTAGTTCATTCATGGCTTTCAACTCCAGCAGATCCGTGCTCAAATTCCAGACCTGTTTCTGTGTGACCACACGCTGATCATTTAATCCCATTAAACCTCAGTTCCCTCATCTGCAAAATGGGAACAAATCAATACTTGCCTGATACACGACAAGCACTCAGTGTATGTTAGCAACTTTTAGGTCACTCTGAGACCCGGAAATCACTGCACAGGAAGGTAGAGAATCGAGTAGCAAAACAACTTCCCGAAGGATAACCCTGCCGGCCTTTGGGACAATGCCTTCCAGACGTTTTTCCTAGGCAGATGGTTTTAGTTTTGACACAGCAGTGATCATTCATGAGTTGCTTTAAACGGACCTGGGAATACATACAGGGCTCCCCCACCTCCTCCTTTGAACTGGGGTCCTGCACCCCAAAGATGGTACGCAGATGGCCTGTGCCTCTCCGTTCCCAACTCCTGCCGGAGGATGCTCATTAAAATGAGTGGGTGGCCCACCACAGGGCACCTTGGGCCCCGGTTTCTATAGAAACCAAGTCACTCCTTCACCTTTCAACACATTTCCCCGTCTCCTGACAAACTATCCTCGGAGACATGGACGGCTCTGGCATCTACTCCCCTTCCCCATTAGTCCACAGCAAGCACCGCCCGATGGGTGCTGAGCAGGAGCAGCCATGGGGGAGGGTGTGCTGAGACTGTGCAGGCACTACCTCGGCTAATCCTCATGTAAAGCACAGGGGGTAAGCACCGTCACCCTCTTTTCAGCTGAGACAGCCACATCAGCTCTGGATTAGTGACTGAGGGCTCCCCGAACAGAGTGCCGCAGGCGAGGCCGCTTAAATAGCGGGACTTCATTCTCACTGTTCTGGGGGGCAGATGTCTGAAATCAGGATGTTGGCGGAGGGCCGTGGGGAAGGAGCTGTCGCAGGCTTCTCTGCTGGGCTTGCAGACGGCCGTCTTCTCCCGTGCCTCTTCCCACCCTCTTCCTGTGTGTCTGTCAGTGTCTGTGTCCGCCAGCCATGTTGGATTAGGGCCCACCCTAATGACCTGACTTTAACGTGATTGCCTCTGGATAGACCCTGTCTCCAGCTCTGGCCTGTGTGGCTCAGTGGTTAAAGCGCCAGCCCACGCACTGAAGGATCATGGGTTTGATCCTCGGTCCAGGGCACATACCTGGATTGCAGGTTCAGTCCCCGCAATTGGTGTGTCTCTCTCACATAGATGTCTCTCTCTCGCTCTCTCTCTCTCTCTCTCTCTCTCTCGCTCTCTTCCCTCTCCCCTTTCCGTTCTAAAAACAGTGGAAAAAATATTCTTGGTTGAGGATGAATAAAACAAAACAAAAAGATCCTGTCATCAAACAAGAGCACCGATTTCAGTCTAGGGGTGAGGACACCTACATCTCTTTTGTGAGGGGGACACCATGCAGCCTGTAACAGGCAGTCTGGCTCTATCCCTGACCAGCCACTCTCCCCCACTAAACCCTGGTTTCCTCCTTTGCTAAAGGGGAACACTGCCTCCCTCGAGGGTTGCTGCGTGAGGGCTAAGTGAGAGACCTGGCACTTCCTCTGGGGCTGGCCAGCCCTCCCGTTACCGAGGGCGGTAGGTGCTGGGCATGCCCCCTGCAGAGCCCCCAGCCACCTGAGCGACCCTGTGGCTGTAGGGACCGACCGCGCACAGATCGCCTACCTGACTCAGCACGGACGCCTCGTTCTCTGCCGGGGATTTCTCGGTGCTTCCGCAGCTCGCTCAGCCCAAAACGGACAGTCGAGTCGTAAAGTACCAAACACTTAGAGCCCCCAGTGGCAACCCTAAGCCCGGAGGGACAGGGTCAGCAGTGAAACACTCCGGCTTCCCAGAAGGATCATTCCTTAGTGGGTCTCACATGGCGCCCAGCGTGCCTGAGCCCAGCTGCCCGCACTGGACGCTGATGCAGCCTCATCTGCCGCCCAGGAGACAGAGGGGTAAACAAAGCCTGATTGCTTCATTGAGCACCTGGATGCAGCTCTGCCTGAAGGTGCAACTTCTTTCGTCCCAAACTAGTTGGTGTTAAATCCTTGTCTTCTCTGTGTAAGGGTTTCTCTTATCAGTCATCAGATTAATATACTCTAATGTTTCAACTGTTCCTCCTTTTAAGACCATGCTAATATTACCAACAATGCCTCGCACGGCTGGCTGTCTATTCTGCCCCTTGAATCTCCCAGCTGGGGGCCCAGGTACCATGGAGCAGAGATTAGCCAACCCTGATGTGTCTGGTCTCAGTTCTTGACTCACAAAATCCATGAAGATAATAAATACAAGTGCTTTGAGTCATCAGGATGGTAATCCCCCCAACCCCCCCTCCTCCTCCCCGCTATGCACCATGTCCCTGAAGAAAAAGGTAACGCGAATGCATGGCACAAATAAATAATCTTTAATTTCAACAAACAGCTCCCCAACATACCGGACGATATGCTGTGGGAAAAGATACAGAAGCATCCAACAGAGATCCCTACTCTAACTACGCTAGCTCCTCAGCGCGAGAGAAAGAACTTTGGTTCACACAAATACGGGAGATCCTCAGCTAGCACAGGAAGGAGCGATCCTGGGTGAGGGTGCGGGGGGCGGTGGCCGTTCTAACCCAGGTCGCTGTCCTCTGCGCGTCTACGCCACCAGGATTTGGTCGGGGGGGAAAAAAAAATGCTGCTTTTGCTCTACCGTGTTCTATTTTCCTGACAAACGTACACGCTACTATTAGTGAAGGCGGGGTCTTGACCGACAGGACACGGGGTGAAATTGCACTGATGGGAGAGGCAGAGTGGGAGGGCTCAGGGTGGAGGTCCCGGCCACTCCCTTGCTCGCCGAGAGGACACAGGGGCACACAGGTTCACTGGTGGGGACACACGCACGGCAACATCACGCTCACCCACGGGGAGTGCCCGGGGGGGGGTCAGCGGACACAGGAGCCGTTCAGTGAAGTGGGAGAGGCTCCTCTCGCTGCATTCTGTTTGCTGTTTGCTGCAGACGGGGTCTCCAAAGGGTCTAATCTATCCATCACGCCCCCGACATAGAAGACAAAGGGCTTCCCGCTGTGGGGAGAAGGTGCCGGGTTCGGAGCACCCCGGGCACAGCAGCCGCTCCAGGCAGCGGTGGGTGTGGGTTTTTGGGGCGTGGCGGTCAGGCCTCACCCACACTGGCCCACTCTCCTTAGAGTTCCTCTTGGGGCTGCCCCCTTTGGGAGCCCCTTGCTCCGGCTTGACGGTGGAAAGTGCATTTTTCGGGGGGGAGAGGGGTGTCAGCAAGAGCAAGCACTGCCAGTGCGCCTCACAGCAGCGCATACTCACTCACCGCACACGGATGGGGCTTCCGGAAAGTTCTCGGGCCTCGCTCACCGAGGATAGCCATTTTGTGATCAATAGTCAGCATCCTCTCAGGTCTGAGAGGGTTTGGTGTGTGTGTATGTGTGTGTGTGTGTGTGTATGTGTATGTAATAGGTAGATGACACGATGACACATTTTTTTGTCTTAAATTTTCTTTTTCTTTTTTTTTTCTTTTTTTTTCCTTTTTACATCTGACCGGTGCCTTCCCTGCAGCCTCAGGTCACCTCCAGCGAGGCCGGGGACACGCGGTCACACTCGGCCCGGGACCGCAGGCTGTGCCACTGCTCCACGGCCGTGCGGTGCGTGTTGAGCATCCGCCGCCAGTGGTTGGATTCCGAGGGGCCGGACGAGTACTGGCCGATGACAATCCTCCCGATGAAGTCGTTGCTGCTCTTCATGTTGTGCCCGAACACTAGAGAGCCACAGGGATGGGGTGGGGGAGGGGGAGACCAGAGGAGGAGGGGGCAGAACAGGAGGCAGGAACAAGACAGGCCATTAGTCCACACATTCCTCAAAGGCAGACCCGGCGTCCGGCCTCCAGGACACTGTCTGTGTCTTTGAGTGGTGAGAACTCCCGATTCCCTCAGCTCTTCTCCCACGGGCTCTGCTGCAGGGCACTGGGCTTGGCAAGGGCTTCCTGCTTCTCCCCCCACAGGCCAGGCATGTCCTCCTTTCCCCTTCCCTCCCTCCTACCCCCCCCCCCCCCCCCCAGCCTCGCACTGGCTGCTGGACAGCTGCCCCTGCCATACGCAGCTTGGAACTTTGTCCTGTTGCCACGCTGCCTGCAGAGCTGGAGTACCGGACAGTCCTGGTGGACGGTCACCGAGTCCAGCTGAGCCGTGACACTGGGTTTCTCAGCCACAGCACTGATGGCATTGGGGGCTGGTAACTCTTGGCTGTGGGACCTGACCTGTGCACGGGAGGTATACAGGCTTCTACCTGCTAGATGCCAGTATCCCCTCCCACAACCCAAAATGACTCCAGACATGGCCAATATCCCCTGGGGGCGGGGGGTCAGGCCATTCCAGATGAGAACCACTAGGCTTAGCTGTGGGCCAAGGGCCAGGCAGCCCACAGGAATCCTGGCCATCATCTGACCAGCTCTGGGACCCCGAGGCAAGCGAGGGAACCGCTCTGAAACTCAGTTTCCTGTTGGTTCAATCGCAACCTTCATGGTGCCTTACCTTTCGAGGTTTCGATGAGATAACGCATGTAAAACTCTCAGCATGCAGTGCCTTCCTAGCACACAGTAAGCACTCGTCGAATGCACTGCTATCTCACGTCCACATTTTCTGTTGATCTTTTTAAATATTTATTATTTATTCCCCTCCCTTTTTATTGAGTTTATTGGGGGTGACACTAATTAACAGAAATTACACAGGTTTCCGTACGCAATTCTGCATCCGTCTCCGCCTCTGGACCTTGGTGGAAAGAGACTTGGCGTTCGCTCTGTTCCAGGCAAGAGAGGCCCGTTTCCTGAGAGAAACGGCTATGGCAGCGCCTTTTATCCCTGGCTGTACTGGGTGTCTCTTTGGAAAGCTTTCCCGTTAATTCCGAAGCAAGCTTAATCTGTGTCTTTCAAGCCTAATGAGATAGTTAGCTTGATTTATCTTCCCAGCCAAGTTCCGCCTAATTCTTTATCCGCATGTGGGTAGTCCAGGCGTGCCATCTCGCTCCTGGGAAAGCAGGCCGTGTCTGTTATAAATGAGGGACTCCAGAATGGGAAATATCACAGATTCACCCAGCGTGAGCCCAGCAAAGGCAGGCTGCATCCCAGGAGGGAAGCCATTATCAAATAAGCCGGCTAAAATATGCAGCCCCAAACAGAGCTTGAATACTAACGAGCCTCTGTTCTCCCCTGGGGGGTTCACATCAGAAATTCCAAATGATAAAAAAAAAAGAGAGGTGTGGGGAGGGGGGTGGGAAGAGAAGGGGAAACAAGAACAAAAACCTCATCCATTGTCTAAAAACCGAAAGACCTAGAGTGAAGTAAGCTGAGTGAACGAGGCTAAGTGAAACGCTACACACCTCAGTCAAGAGTGTCCGGTACCTGTCCGCTCCACAGACAAAAATTAAACCATGCATACTTTTTGTACTTTAGGTAAAATGCTCAGTATGCATCGGTGGACTTCGTTTTCATAAAAGTTAGGAATGGAATCTTTTGCTAAGGAGCTTTTTGGGATGCATTTGAAAAAAATTGTTTTAAATAGGTAACACTCAGGACCGTCTTGAACCACACCTGGTGGGCAGTGCAAGGTTTGATTTCACCAAATAAGAAGAAGTTATCAGAGTCCCCTTTTCTGTGGACCTCAAATCTAAAGCAAGATATTATTATCATTTTAGCAAAATATAGGAGACCATTCCAGGCTCCTTTTGGTTTTCTCCCTTTGGGGCAAAATGTTCCCTCTTCCTCTGCCTCCCCAACGTTCACATGAAAATGCAGAAGCATCTTAGCAAATCAGTATGACCTCTGCTTCCCTGGGGGAAGGGTTTTAAGAAAGGAAACCTCTAACACTAATCACACATTGTTGGTGAGAGAGGAAGTTGGTTCAACTTTGGAGGGAAGTTCACAGTATCTGTGTAAAATAAAAATGTCATAATCTGTGATCCAGAAATTCTACTTCTAGGGATTCACCCCACAGAGCGATCTGCCCAAATGGAGGAAGATACACAACCATGTGTCTGTGGCAGGGGCTGGCGAACCAGAGCCTCCAAGGCAAATCTGCCTGCCACCCGATTTCTGTGAGCTTTGTTGGGACCCCGTCAAACCCGCCGGTTCACATCCGTCCTCCGGCTGCCACCGCACAGCAGCCCCACAGCTGAGCAGCTTCAACAGAGACCACATGGCCCAAAGTTGGAAATAGTTACTGCTTGGCCTTTCACGAAACCTTTGCTGATCCTTGCTCCAGAATATTGTTTAGAAGAATGAAAAACGGAAATAACAAAAATGTCCGTGAGGAAGTGTGGCCAGGCTGTTGGTGCCCTAACCCACCTCTCAGCCCGCCCTGCAGGCCACCTGCAGCTTCTGTGGACGGTGCCCTACCCCAAGCCCCCATGGCTCTCTGCCTGGGCCCACAGTCTGTGCTAACAGGTGATTTATGGGGGGGAGGGGGTGCTTGGGCCACTCCATATCAACTTGACCTTGGAAGGTGTGGGAGACTGGAGGAAGCCTCTTGGAAGGGCAGCCATGCCTATGTGGACACCAGGGCCTGGTGGAAGAGACTGCGAGTGTGCTGCCACTGGAAGCTCCTGCATGGGCCCTCCAGCCTCTGCCCTCACTGATATTGGTCTGGACCCTTTTGCTGCAATAAATGGTAACACAAGTATAACAACTCTTCTGAGTTTCGTGAGTCCTTCCATCTTCTAGCCTGAGGTTGGCCTTGGGGCCCCCTGAGCTGCAGTGACACGCTCAAAAGAACTGCCTCTGTTTCCTGCCTCCCCTCCCCACTCGCCTGCCGGTGCTTCTGGGATCCCCTTCCTAGTGGCTTGCCTGCACCCGAGTCATTGTTTTAGGATTAGATTTGGGAGGCACCCAGACTAGGCCTGCCGGGGCTAATTAGGTAATTTCTGATGAAACAATACCATAGGAACCAATGTCACAGTTAAAAATGACACAGACCTACATATACCAATGGCAAAATCTTCCAAGACCTATTGCTAGGAGACAAAAGCGAGTTGCAAAGCAATGTATGTCAACACAATCTCGTTTTGCTAAAAACATACTAATATATAGAAAGCAATGTCTGGAGGGATGTTCGCCAGACTCCTCAGAGTGGCTCTCTCCAGGGAGGAAAAACAGAGGGAACTTCCGCTTTCGTCTTAGGTTAGCATGTACCGTTTAAACTTCTCACAAGTGCATGTGGTGATGGGAAGGAAACAGGAAACAGACACGGTAAGCGGCTGTTAGAGAACCCACATCTACGTCGCCAGAGGGGGAAGAAGACTAAAGGGAAGTCGTAGCCTACGCTCCCGGCGTCCCCGTTTGCAAAGTGCGTGGCGAGTCACTTGGCCGGGAAGAGTGGGGAGCTGGTGAGTCGGCCTCTCTGCCGGGAAGCAGCGGTGGCCGCCCTGGTCCCGGTTAACCAGCAGGCTCCGCACTCGCCAGTCCCTCGGTCAAGTTACCGGCAAGTCAGTTGGCCACTTTGAAAGTCTTGGAGAAAGCAAACATTCAAAATGCAAATTATAACACGTGAAGCTGAATAAAACCAATGACGTCTATGATAAAAGCTAACGGGGAGAATATCAAGGTTTGCCATCACTGAACATTCTGGGGACTGGCTGCTTGTAGAAGACAGAAAGGGATCCAGCAGCCGTAGGCCAGACACCCTGCCCCCTCCACTGTGTCCGTAAGGAAACCAAGCCACGGAGCTGGCTGGTACTAAAACTCGCAGTATTTGCAGCAAGTAACCTGCAAAGGAAGCACGTTCCTCACACCTAGGTCCCTACAATCCTCTCCAGAAGCAATCACACTCAGACATTTTGTTGTAAGGCCCCCAACTGTCCCCACTGGTTGCGACAGGGGACTCCTCTTACTGTAATCACTGAGTATGTGACAATGTATCTGCTCCAATGTACCTTAGTCATCTGGAAGCGCCTTCCCAGCAGTGCGTACAACCAGAGTGGCAACAGGCGTCTAAGCAGTCAGAACAGATGTCACAGAGTCAGGCACACATCCCAGCAAGGGGGCTCCTCACACGTTCTCTAAGAACCTACCTCCTATCCGTGGATTTAGACGTTCTTCGACTGAATGTGGCCACCTGGTTTCCCCACCCGCGGTCATTTACATGAACTCAGTGGACTGTGGCTACCTGACAGATACGAGAACTTCAGAGAGGACGGTAGGACGGAGCCATGTAGTGAAGGGCAAACACGCTTTACTCCCTCACAGAGCCCAGGGAGACTCACTGTGTGACCGGGCTCTGAGGAGGCATGGAGAGGGACACTGCTTTGTTAAGCACCTACTATGGGCCTGGCCCAGGACTAAGCAGGCCACGTGGGATAACTTAATCTTCACGTCCACCCTCTAGCACGGACTTTCCCATCCTCAGCACGACTGACATTCTGGGCCAGACCGTGCTGGGCGTGAGGGGCTGTTCTGATCATCGCGGGAAGTTTAGCGGCACATCTGGCCTCTCCCCACCAGATACCATTAACAGCCCTCCCAGCTGCAACAACCAAATGTATCTCCAGACTCTGCCCAGTGTCCCCGGGGAGTTGTTACCCCCGGCTCCCCCCAACCCCCTCCAATGAGAGACACTGCTCTAAGGGGCTGCTATCAGGCGAGAGCACAGGACAGCGGGTGCAGGGAGAGCATCCACTGCTCCAGGCGAGATCCAGTTGCCCCGAGTGAGTCAGAGGCAAGTTGAGTCTTTCACATGTTGATATTTGCCGCAAAAAAATGAATTTGTTCTT